TAATCTGAGTTCTTGCTGAGTCCGGAAAAAACTTTGCGCAAATGTTTTTTCGATTTTATGAATAAATTCTGCAAAATTTCTCTACTGAATCAAAATTTTTGCTCAATTCTGTCTTTTTTAATGCTGATTCTTATGATGTGTCCTAATTAGTCCAAAACTTTTAATTGACCTTGCTATCGGTGAAATAGGTAGCGAGAGTTTCAGCTTTTTGTCGTTACTCATTTTCTCTATGTGTTTTTAACATGGGTTTGGCAAACTATTTTTAAAAAGAGCTCATTTAAAGCCCATTTAAGAAAAGAATTCGTATTTAATTACGATGAATTATATATTAAATTAAAGAGCATAGATTTGTGATTAAAGTGCTGCATTATTTGTCTGGGTAAGACATCCCTAACTTGCTGAAATTGCCGAATCCTCAAGAGGACTTCACTAACAGGTCGCCCTTTACTTCTGAATGTTAGAGTTAACTGTTTACTTATTTTACTGATTCATCTTTTTTCCAGTCTAAAGATCTCTAATCTAAAAAGAAGCGCAGAAGTGCTTCGTCAAAGCTGGGCAAACAACCTGTGACTATTGTAAGACCCCAAACACGACTTCAATCACGACGAGACAACAAAGTCTTAACCACGAGAAATAATATTGGTAGTCTCTCACCTCAAAAGCCCCAGCAACTCTTTTGGTATAAGCGTTCGGAAGGATTGAGAGCGACAATTTTGTGCTCCGATTCTTGTACAAATTTCGATTTGCCTGATAATATTAAACCAGTGGGACCTCATATTGGAAACGATACAGCGTTCTTTACATTATAATCTGTAGATGCAATTCAAATTTAAATTCAAATTCAAACCGCAATAGACTTTAGATATAATAAGGTATGACGAGTAATGTTTTGGACTAATTTTTCAAAATTCAATTGCGACAGTTAGACTAGACTTACAGACACTATTTAAATATTGAAATAAAGCTGAACTTTTTAACAACGTATTGTGAAAAAATTGATCGATTTTGATCAGAAATTGTCAAGTTATAGCCTTAAATGGACAAAGACGTCAAAATCTGAGTTTACCTTTCGTCAAAAACCATAAATTTTTTACTGCATACCAGGGTTCTAAAGAATCGAAAAGTGGCCAAATTTGGCCTCAAAGTTGTTTGTAGGGAATTAATGTACCTAATATAACTCAACATAGATCGTTTGAAAGGTTCAGGTCAACATTGAGGCTAAATTTTATGGACATTTGATAAAAAACGAGATTTTTCGCGGATTGAAAAAGGACTTAGATTTCGAATATTTCAAGAGATTATTCCCAAATGAAAAGAGCAGAGGTCACTTTTCTTCTGTAAATGAAGTTCTGATCTTTTATTTGTAAATAATCTATTGAAATATTCGAAATCGAAGACCTCTTTTCCAAAAAGTCCTTTTTCAATGCGCGAAAAATCTCGTTTTTATCAACTCTCCTTAAAATCTCCGTTTCAATGGTGATCTGAACCTTTAAATCGAACTATGTTGAGTTGTATTAGTCGCATTACATCTTGTTCAACAATTCTGAGGCCAAATTCCGCCATTTTGCGATTATTCAAAACCCTGATATGAAGTTGAAAATGTATGGTTTTTTACGAAAGGCAAAATCAGATTTTGACGCCTTTGTCCATTTAAGATCATAACTCGATAATTTTTCATCATTTTTGCGCAAAATGTTCTTGAAAAGTGTACCTTCATTTTAATCTTTAAATGGTGCCTGTAAGTCTAGTCGCAATTGAATTTTGAAAAATTAGTCCAAAACATTACTCGTCATACCTTAATAGAAAAAGAAAAAGAAATAACCTATGGGCAAAAAGATTGAGACAAATATACAAATCACTTGTAAAGCTTTTTCTTGATAATCCGATTAGCCAGAGCGCCGAAACTTTCAGAAGACTGAGAAGAGAGTTCAGTTCATCTACAAGCAGAAATTCAAGATCATCGATATTCTGATCATTTTAAATTAATCATTAACTCTTGCGACAATTGAATGATTTCTTGCCTCTCAGCATAAGAAAAAAATATTGCAAAAAATCAATTAACTTTAAGATCCATTTATTCAGAAGTTATATAATATTTAAAGCTTTTTCAACATGCTAACGCTTAAAACACTCTATGACCTATCAAAATCTTTAATTTCAATCATGATATTATGCCTAAGACGACAATAATTTAGTCTAACAAATAAGAAAAAATTTAAAAATTCAACTTCAATCACCGCATAAGGGTGCCAAAAATATAAAATTTGAATCAAATGGTGCTATGTATAGTAGGTCATTATATATCAAATCAAACAGCAAGAGTTGTTCAATCTTTGATCGTTTGAAGTGAAAAGTGAAAAAGATACGAGCAATTAAACATTTGTCTCAAACTTCCTGCCCATAGGTTAGAAAAAGCTAATATCGTCTTGTAGGCATAATCCATTCTTACATAATCCGAAATCAAAATTGGGACCAGTGGGACCTCATATTGGAAACGATACAGCGTTCTTTACATTATAATTTGTAGATTCAATTGCAATTCAAATTCAAATTCAAACCGCAATAGACTTTACGAAAAAGCTATCATCATCTTGTAGGGCATAATCTATTGCAACATAATCTGAAATCAAAATTTGGGGACAATTCAACAATTTTGATTGGATTGGATGGTGGATTCAATGGATTGATTTTTTAATTTGATTGGTTTTTATATTTGGTTCGAATAATTTGGAAAGAAGAAGTCAAAAACTAAATTTAGTCGATGTAACTTGAAAAGTTGAAACCAAAAAAGTTTGTTTGACCTTTGCCTCTCCTACTTACCAGTTTTACTTTTTCTATGGAAAGGCTTGTATAAGCTATTGATAAAAGTTTTTTCAAAAGCCATAAAGTGGTCAAAAATATTAAAGAGAGTTTATTTGCTCTGTAGCGTTAGCAATGTATTTAGGCAAAACTACTCTTCGACTTTTTTGTCTCAAACCGGTTCGATCGCGGTTTATATTAATATTACAGGTGAACTATTATTTTCTTATTCTTCATTTTATAAATACAGATACTCAAACCTGTGATTGACAATGATCCGAAGTCAAGTTTCAAAGGTTTTGATTTTATTAGTGTTCAAAAATTATTTTGGACAAAAAAACGTCTAAGAGTAGCAACGAAGGGTTAAGATCTTCAGCAGCATCTCGCTGTCGTCGATCATGATCAAGTATCATCGTTTGCAGATGGAACCAATAATCCTGTAAAGACCAAAATAATGAGAATCTTTATCACAAAAATCGGAAAGTTTAGAGAAAGTTAGAAAGTTTTAGAATTGTTAACAATAACTTTATTTGTTGCTAGTTTAACTTTAACTCATAAATGGGAATATAAACTCAAGTCGTTATAAATCACTTTTATTTGAATATTCAAAAGACATTAAGTAAAAGAAAGTCGATTAATTTTGTTATATACATTGCATTACAATTATTATCAATATTTACTTTTTTCATAATCCTGTAGCGCTAAGGCCAATTCACGTCTCAGTTAGTTTACTTTATAAACTATAAATTTCTAGCAATTAAGCAGTTCGTTAAAAGTCGGATAGTCAATCTACAGTTGATCCGTCAAAATTAGCAAAATATCCAATCGATGTACTTATTTCAAAGCCATTCAATAACTGACTTGTTAGTAAAAAGGAACAACTGACACAATTGTAACATTTATGCATAACTTGACACAAATTCTGGAAGAAAAATGGGTAAAAAAGGGTAAAAATAGATTTTTTTCAAATTTAGACTCTTTTAGTTTGTAGGGAAATCAGAGCTTAATCCATTTTTGCGTTTTAAAAGTTTCTCTGATCAATAGTTTTCAAGAAAATCGAGATCAAATTTGAAACTTCGATCGCTTTTTGTGCAACTTTGAGACCAGCTTTTTTAA